ACCAATACCTCAACGGCATGCCAAGTTATATATAGCTTAAAAATGAAAAAAACAAAGTGATCTTCTCCTTTATTTTTCAATATGAATCGATGTGGACACCTCAAAATTTAACCTGCAATTTTTTTTAAAAAAAAAGAAGAGTCCATACCTTTCAAACATGGTGAAAGCCTCTGCATACATCAACAAAGATATTCCATATAAACATGTTCAAAGGTCTTTATAAACAGGTTAATTGCCTTCTATTTCTGAAAACAACTAAAGAAATTGAATCAAAATATGACAACAGCTCTGAATAATACGCATTTTCCATTTAATTTCTCATGATTTTGACAGCATTTAATGCACATACGCATACATATGGTTAATGATTGTAGTTTGAATCTCCATCGCTTAAGCTCGTCTTTGCTTCCATGGCGAAGTCCTCTTCTTCCTTGTGCCACCTAATATCCCAGCATCGTTGCTCAACATCTTTTGGGGGCACTTTCTTTTTCCTACCTTTAAGTTTAGCAATTTCCACTGTTGTTCTTATTTTTCTCTACAAGTTTAGCAATTTCCACTGTACTCTACACAACATCAAAAGTTTTCACCAATAATGAAAACAATCTTTACCAAGAATCTTCCACCATTTCTTCTTTAATCCAACAAATGATCCCTTTTTCATTTGAAAATGCAGCCGATGAATTGTTCTTTTCACCCAGATCTTCTCCTCCGTCCAAAGGGAACCAGTGGTCTACGGGGAACCTTTTTGGCTTATATGGTAAGTAGGGGTGCAAATAAACCGAGTTTGAACGAATAAATTTGGTGTTTGTTTGTTTACTTTTGAAGTTGTTCATATTCAGTTTATGTTTGTTTAAATTTTCAATTTCATACTTGTGTACGTTTATTTATTTACGAAGATGTTTATGTTCGTTTGTTTAGCATTCGTGCATGTTCGTTTAACATTCGTATTTGTGTACGTTTAATTATTTCTAAAGGGGTTCATGTTCGTTTGTTTAGCATTTACGCATGTTCGTTTAACATTCAAGAACATGTTCATTTAAGGAGCTTAGAGTTGATTTAGTTTTGCCCTTTTATTTGCAAAGTAAAAAAAATGGTAAAATTAAGTCATTAGTCGTAAGTTCCTTAAGCTTCACAATTTGAATCCCAAAGTTTAGCTTAAGTTAAATTTAATTCAGGTCTTTACCAATATTTAAAATAAAAAAAAGGAAAAGGAGAACCAAATAAACGAGCCAGTAAATGAAACGAACATACATATATTTGTGTTCGTTCATTTATTAAATAAACACAAAAATTTTATTCATATTCGTTTATTTTATACAAACAATGGATGAACACAATGACAGAAGTAAGATTTGTCATCCGAATTTCTTTATTTTTGTAGTTAATTTTATTGAGGGTGTCTACTTGAAATTTTATTTGTGTCTATCCTATATAAAAAAATATACAATATTAATATAGATGTGTCCATTTTAAAAAGTATTTCTAAATCCACCACTGAATGAACAATTATCTGAATGCTAAAACCCTAACTGTAAGTCAAGTTGTTATGAGAAATGCTAGTTTTTATGGTTCTATTCTTATGATACATCTCTTGGATTTGGCGTTTCAGGAAACTATGCAAATCACACAGAGGTATACCATGACGAAGATTTGTTTCAAGAAGATTACAAGGAAATGAATAGGAGCATGAAGATATATATTTATCCACATGACAAAGATGATCCCTATGCTAATATATTATTGCCAGCGGATTACGATCCCAAGGGCCATTACGCCAGCGAACTATACTTCAAAAAAGTAATCGCCGGCAGCCATTTCATCACCCAGAACCCAAGCGAAGCAGACCTTTTCTTTATGCCATTCTCCATCGTCGAAATGAGGCATGACCCGAGGATCGGTCCTGAAGGGATGCGGAGTTTCATCAAACAGTACATCTACAATATTAGCCAAACGTATCCTTACTGGAATCGAACCGATGGGGCTGATCATTTCTACGTTGCCTGCCATTCCATTGGCCGTTTCGCCATGGATGAAGTGTTTGAAGCTAAATTCAATGTGATTCAAGTCGTTTGTTCTTCGTCGTATTTTGTTGCCGGATATGTTCCTCACAAGGATGCTTCGATGCCGCAAATTTGGCCTCGACAGGGAAACCCTCCGGACGTTGCTTCATTAAAAAGGTTCATTTAATCAAAAGTTCTAAAAAAACTAAACATACTATTATTTACACCTGAATATGAGTAACATGATTATTTATTTCTGTTGAAATTGTAGAAAGCAGCTAGCGTTTTTTGCCGGGACAATCAACTCACCCGCACGAGTAGCTCTTCTCAAAGTTTGGGGAAACGACACCGCCATCTTCGCCCACTTTGGTCGGCTCGGAACACCTGATGACGAGCAACTGCTCGACGCAAAGTTCTGCCTCCACGTCAAAGGCTTCGAAGTGAACACCGCTCGTGTTGCAGATGCGATATATTACGGCTGTGTTCCGGTGATTCTGGCCAATCATTACGATCTCCCATTCACGGACACATTAAATTGGGAAGCTTCTCGGTTGTGGTTCATTACTTAGACATCCCAGTTTTGAAGAACATACTTCAAAGGATTAGCTTAGGGGTATTCAATATTACAAAGTAATACTTTGAAGGTTCGTAAACATTTCCAGTGGAATGATCCGCCGTTGGATTACGATGCGTTTTACATGACCATGTATGAGTTATGGCTCCGCCGGAGTTCCGTCAAGGTCCAACTAAGTTCTTCCGTTGAATGAAATGTCGAATCTAAGGCTTTGAGGTTGCTGTTTACCTATTTATGTGGCGGAATTAAAGTTAAGTGTCCGATATTAATATGTGTTTAATTTGAATATTTCCAAAATAAAATTCTATTTCTCTAATCACTCGTATCATAATATTTGTCCCTTTAATTATATGATCGTCTTCTTTTCTATCTATGACTATCGGTCAATGCACGAACTAATTGATTAAAAAGAAGCACCAAACTTAGTTTTATAACCAATTTTTTTTCTAGAATGAAATAGATCCCGCAGGAACCACGTCGAGGATGATGTAAAAGCAACATTGGGAATGAACAACTCCAAGAATGATTCTATTCTTAGAGGAAACCCCTAAGAAACAATCTATACTCAACAATTATTTCATTCCTCTGTATAAACTTAAGAAACCCCTTCCCTATTTGCAATAACAACTCCATCTGGTGAAGAAAAAGAAAAAGCAGCCATGGGAACACTCACGGAAGGTTATCTCGAGCCCTGTTGCCGCTGGAAGAGAGGAAAAGATTATGATACGATTCATATCGAGCTTGATGGTATTGTATTTTACTCCTCTCTTTGAGAAAATTTTCAAATATCTAATGATTTTCATCTATGGTTCTTAGGTTTCAAAATCAAAGATTTGAAAGCCATCCTTAAACACGTTGTTGAAGAACACAGATATGAAATACCAATCACCGCGGAATCTCCCAGACGTCTGAAGTGGAGAATCGAAATCCCAGACGATTATTACAATTTAGAGCAGATTCGTGCTTTGTCTTCGAATGGGAATCTCAACCTAGAATTGCCCAAGAAAGGTAATAAATTAGAGATTTCGATGCCGAGATTGGAAATTAAAAGGACTTTACAAGAATCAACCGAAGATTTGAAAAACAAAATTATTTCTACCGCCGAATATTCATGTTCAAAGGGGAATATCGCAGCGGTCGGCTTAGGGTTGATGGCTGTTGGGTTGTTTGCATATAAATATTTACAGAACGTTACGGTTTCTGAGAAGTAAATCATTGTTCCAATGTAAATCTTAATTAACCTGGAAATCTATTGTAATCTCACAGTGTTTATAAGGTTCGCTTGAGTACAAATCAAAGGATAAAACGAGAAAATCCATGCCAACTTTTCTTTGTTAAACCATGTCTTGTATTATGTAGGTATAAGTTGTGATATTTTGATTTAGTTAATTTTAATTAATCTACTTTTTGAATTTTTAAATTTTAACTTTTATCCGAACAATGCACATATGGATGGGTATAAGTGGGATCAGATCGAACTTTTGATTGTTTCATATCCGATTTTAAAATTTAAAATTATCCTTGACTCGATATGAAATAAATAAATAAATAATTTTAATTGTTAAAAATAGTTTTACCATGCCTAAATACACATATATTATGATTAGATAATATGAATTTAAATGATCAAATTGAAAAATAAGAACTAAATCGACAAAGAACACATAATGTAAGAACTAATGATAAATCTTAATTAAACAAACTCAAGCGAATTAAGATTGGAAGTGCAAATATTGAGAAGTTCAAATTCCAAAACAAATTGTATTAGAATATAATAATTATTCCATAATTTCTTTTGTTATTATTTTTCTTTCTATTCTTTTAACAATTACTTTTTTTTTTTAAATTTCTTTCTATTTTTTTGACGTTTGAACATCTTATTACAAATCTCAATTGTGGTAAAGTAGAAAATGAAGAAACATACTGTATATTATGATTTCATATTGATTAGATGGTGAAAATGATAGATCGAATACATACTCTTTCAAGTTTTGTGTTGAGTTCTTCAAGTTTTATAGAGATTTTAAAAAAATCTAAACTGATTGTGTAATAACGGACGATAAGAAAAATTCGTCAACGTGTTGAGTGATGGAGAAAACACTAAAGTGATATATATGAAAATTTTAAAGTTAATATAATATTAGTGTAATGAATTAATAGAGTAACAGAAAATAATAAGAAGAATTGGTCAATATCTTTTATGATTTTTTCCCTTCAAATTTTCATAACTTTATTAAAAAAACAGAAAATATCAAATTTCCAATGATGTTTTTATTTATTAATTATAAATCAAACTTACATGCGTATAAAATAATTACTATCATCAAATAATAAATGTTTGAGACACTCAAAATTATTACAATGAACTCTTCCCATCTGTCATTAAAGCATTCTCCAATGGCATGACTTCAAACTGATTAATCAAATCATATGTATGGATAGGGAGATGGGGTCGGTGCCCAAGGTTCAGCTGGTGTTGCTGGCACCGAAGGTGTAACTGGTGCCCAAGGTGCAGGAGTTGGAGCCCAAGGTTCGGTTGGTGGTGCAGGAGTTAGAGCCCAAGGTCCGGTTGGTGTTGCAGGTACCGAAGGTGTCCATGGTGCAGGAGTTGGAGCCCAAGGTTCGGTTGGTGTTGCAGGTACCGAAGGTGTCCATGGTGCAGGAGTTGGAGCCCAAGGTTCAGTTGGCTTTACTGGTACTGAAGGTGTCCATGGTGCAGGAGTTGGAGCCCAAGGTTCGGTAGGTGTTGCAGGTATCGAAGGTGTCCACGGTGCAGGCGCCGGAGCCCAAGGTTCGGTTGGTGTTGCAGGTACCGAAGGTGTCCATGGTGCAGGCGCCGGAGCCCAAGGTTCGGTTGGTGTTGCAGGTACCGAAGGTGTCCATGGTGCAGGAGTTGGAGCCCAAGGTTCGGTTGGCTTTACTGGTACTGAAGGTGTCCATGGTGCAGGAGTTGGAGCCCAAGGTTCGGTTGCTGTTGCAGGTATCGAAGGTGTCCATGGTGCAGGGGCTGGAGTCCAAGGTTCGGTTGGTGTTGCAGGTATCGAAGGTGTCCATGGTGCAGGCGCGGGAGTCCAAGGTTCAACTGGTGATCTCGGTGTAACTGGTTCCCACGATATAGGAGTTGGAGCCCAAGGTTCAGTTGGTGTTGCAGGTACTGTCCATGGTGCAGCAACCGGAGCCCAAGGTTCTATCGGTGATGATGGAACTGGAGGTGTAGCAGGCACAGAAGGTATAACTGGTAGCACCCATGGTGCAGGTGCAGGAACAGGAGACCAAGATTGAATTGGTGTTGTTGGCACTGAAGGTGCACTTGGAGCCTCGGCTGGTGGTGCCAAGCCATATGGATATTGGACAAAGATTGCAAGCTTTTGGCCATAACTGGAACAATGGTTAGCAACACCGCAGATGTACCACTTCCTTCCCGGAGTCTTAATAACAATCGTGTCGTTCCCAGAAGTGAGAGCTACATTTCCAGGCGGAATATCACAATTCTTGAAGGCAGTACCGTTTACTTTAAACACATTATGATATCCTTCAGGGTATCGAAATACTGCAAAATTTTGATTAAAAAAATTATCTGATAATGTTATAAACTATACATTCAACAAAAATCATATGTATACTGTAAACCATCGTGGAACTTAAAAAAACTTCATAGTCTCGACATATACCTAACTTATCGCCAAGATGAAATACTTTATCCTTCGCCCAAGCTTGGTAATCGAAATTGATCGTCCATCCTTTGTCATCCCCGACAATATACTCTGTTGCGACGGCCATTGCAGGAAGAAACACGGCAACAAAGGCAAGCATGAAAAGCCTTTTAGAAGCCATTGATGGAAGCTCAATAAACTCTATTGTTTCTAATGTTTTTTTTACTTGTATCTGGTTTCGCTTAGTACGTATTTATAGTTGAATGATTCATTAGGCATTGCAATTTCGAGGAGATGGGTTTGAGATGGTAAGAGGCCGGCCAGAATCGGCATACGAACATTGGGTTATTCGTAGGGGTGCCAAATAAGCATGTTTCGTAACAAAGTAAGAAATATTAGATTATTTTTGTTTCTTTCCTTTAACGAGATACTTCAACATGTCGTAAAATTGAACAGAAAAGTTCAAATTGTTAGCCTGCAATGTTTTATGATTTTATTAACGAAAGAGATCTTTTGATTTTCCTAAGGTCGGACGGTCGGACATACTAGTTCGCGTACATTAGACACAAATAATGAATGCAAATAATTCAGAGAAAAATATGAATCCGAACAAAAACGCACAGATGTATAATCTCTCCCCCTAACCTTGAAACTTTTTGATGAGGCATAGTTCATTAATGAGTAAGCTGTGAGAACGAACAAGTCGATAGCAGTTTTAAGACTAAAAAGAAAGCCCTAAATAACATAAGGGAGTTCTCATGTGAGTTCCATTGTTTTTAACATACATAAATATGTCAAAAGTCACTGGTTTGGTTCAGATCCAACCTTTACGGCAACCCAATCATCGTCACTCATTGGCAGAGCAGTGCTACCAGCAGAAACTTCATGTTCGGCACGTGTGGATGAACTACGACCCTGTTGCAGGATAATGTATCCATTTCAATAGGCTGTATTGAGTCCTCAACTGAATTCGTAGTAGCCAAGTGGTTAGACAGAATATTAGAATAGAGAGGTTATCCTCCGGCTGAGGATGTTCGGACAGGATAGGTGAGGATGACCGGACAGGATCAATAAATGTTACATTAACTGCAATAAATTCACATGAAAATTATGAGGAACATGGCTGTAAGAAAATACATCTCAGAAGCTAACATTCAGACAGCTTGCAAACAATTTGACTACCAAAGATGTAGAGATGCACTCTAGTTAAATGAGGCGTACTTTTCGTGGGAATATATCCATGCGAGGAAACAGAATCTCCATGATGCACTGCAGCATGTTACTCAGGTTTAAGTGTATCGAATACGAGTATATATGTGTTTGACACAGATAAATTCAATTTGGAGGATCACATCCAAGGAGACTTGTCAATTGGGCGGGTCGGGTTAGTTTTGGGGTGAGTCAGGTTGGTTTTCATCGGTTCAATCTAGATTGGATCATTTCGGGTCACAAAATTTTTGGGTCAATTCAGATCAAGTCAAATTCGGGTTTCACATAATTTTGAGTTCAGGTTGTTGCAGGTTTTGGTAGCTTTGTTCAAGTCATTTCAGGTTCAGATTGTTTCGGGTCCAGGTCAATTCGAGTTCAGGTTGATAGGGTAGGATTAGCCAATATCCAAGCCAACTAACTATTCACCTTTTGCAAACACAAACTTCCTGAAAAGATAAATCCTTACCAAGGAGGCAAATAAAAAATAATTTTGCATGCAATTTCAGGAACATGTCAACTGTATACTTCAAATTGAAATTCAATATTAAATGATAGAAGTTTCCATAGTAAAAAGTCACCTCGATCCTCCTGCAGATCAGCCCCTGAAGTTGAGCTAGAATTGAGCAATGTACCGGCTCCGGATCCAATATTTTGTTGGGTAACAGCATTGACATTTGTTGGCAAGTGAGAAGCTGAGACCATATGCACTTCTGGTTCATGGTAGACCGGAGTAATATCCATAGAACACCTATTTGACTTGCCTGAAAATGATGCAAAGTGTTAAGGCCTCTATATTTACTCATGGATGGAGGGGAATTTTCAAAAGCTGATCAAACGCATCGCTAACATACAGGGACCATAGATGAACCGCTGACATAAATTCACAAAGATGACACGACTACAAATCTCATAAAACTCTTTTGGTCCAAGCACAGGAAACACCTAGAATTCAGAAACTTGTTAACCATGCTCCAATTTAGACTTCATATCTCATATCAGTCCCGGAAAATTCCTCCAGTGTTATAGATGTAAGGTTCATTTTGTTACTTGTAAGCACATGATACACTTAGATCACCTTTCTCTAACACCAATACAATAAAATTGAGAATTGCATGCCATTTCACTCAAAATTTTATGCCCCTTGGTTAAACAGGTCAAACAAATTGTATTTGCAGAGAGAGAGGAAGACATGAAAAGGATTGACAACAGGATAGTGAAAAAGGGATCTTTCTTTTTCCTGTTTTTGTTTTTTGGAAAAAGGAAACCGGAAATGAGGGATTTTAGAGAACACACCCTCTTTTAACTTTGTGTATGCAACTTTCGCTGCCGAAAACTCAGCCTGCTTCTTGGTTTTTACTTCCTGCCCGGTAAAAGCCTCTCCCTTTACCTGCACAACGGAAACAAACATCGATGCATGGGCTTCACCGGATCTTGTTGTAGTGTAAACTGGCAGAAGGCAACCTTCCTTCTGCATTAATTCTTGCAACAGGTTCTTGTATAAGCTAGAGTCTTCCTGAGGAAAAACGAAAACATAGAAAGGACAAAAACTCAAGCCCTAGAGATTTGCAACAACCGAATGTTTTCACAAATATCATAAACGATAGTAACACAACAAAGACAAAAACGAATCAGTAACCTGGACCTCTTCAATGGTATCTGGTGCCAAAGACAATAATGCAATTCTTGCAGCTGCATGTTCGGCTTCCTTTATTGTTGGAAAGAACTCCAAACTCTCATAGGTTTTTACATCGATAGTGACCTTGCACCTGAAGCGACTTGCATGAGGCGGACCCTCCGACTCACAATAATACACAGGTCGGCTGAGATTTGTCTTTTGAGCATAATTTTGCAATACATTCTTGTAAAAATGTTGCATATCTGTAACCCATCAATTCCATATCAGAAAAAGTGCTAAATGAGCTTTTCCTTGTAAACAAGGGGTTAAGGAAACAGTTTGCAGAAGCATGAAACTAACAAGTAAACAAAAATGAAAATCAAAACGCAAACAAATATTAGTTCATCAAGACTCCAAATATGGAAAACAATCTATATATTGACCATAAGCAATATGTTGAATGCCATGCAACCCAGATCTAACAGCCTCTTTAATGTTCCATGGATGCTACCATTCTAATCTGCCAGTCTTTTTGCTTTCTTTTAACTCTTAATTGGCTCCAACGTTCAAGTTAAAGAGTTTTCAAGGAGATAATGCAGGCATTCTAAAGCAGAATAGCAGACTTTAATCAACCCAATCAACCTAGAGCTAAAATGTCTTTGAGGAAGCTTGTGCTCAGTTCAATGTATTGATACCATGCACGAGCTGGGAAAATTAAGCCCTTTTCAATTGATAAGGGTCAAAGCTAATCATGAAGACAACATCAAGCTAATATAAGCATGGAATGTACGGTACAATATTTTATAAAAACTGGGGAGAAAAGAAGATCTAGATTAAGAAAAAGCATAATTTGAGCACTGACTGAGGTTATGAATTCTACTTCACATGTAAGAGAAGTGCACAAGGCTTCTAATAGGAACACATACCACATATAATTATCTTTTATGCCAATAATTAGACAAACAAGCTATCCAGTTTGTCTTTTGGTTCAAGTAGGAAATATATGAGTACAAAACTAGTTTTCAGACCTTTAAATTTTTCATTATTGTTGGAAATGGAAGCAGGTTCCCTGACATGAGAACCTCGATCTGCTTCTAGTTGCAGTACCCTTCTGTTAGCAATATCACCATCAAAATTGTGATTGCATTTGAAGAACCTGCAAGAATCACAGCAACCAAAATGGAAAAATGATTTACTTTTGAAGAACCTGCAATAATCAAGTAACCAAATGGAAAGATACTTTATTTTGTACATATGCATCCTAAATTGATAAGGGAAGGCAAGGAAAAAGCTTGCGAAAAGTTTTAAAAAGTAAAACATGTACTGGTTCTCGAAGACATACAAAAGAATTGAAGAGCTTAAAAATCCCACTGTTTTTTTTATATAAAGAAATCCCACTGTTTTAAACGCAATAAAATTATCAAGACTTTGCCTAAAAGAATAAAAGAAGTTTATTATGAAGGTATATGATAAGGCCATCGAGCTTTGGCTCACTAGAACCACAGTCTAGCATTCAAGGCACCCATTTATATGGGGGGGGGGAAATTGGGGAAAAAGTTGAAACTTATTGTCAATTAGAGACATAGAACAGTTACCCTCTCCTTGATATTTACAATAATGATTCACACCGATTTAAATATGAGATACTGATCTAAGTATGAGATACTACCAAATCTGTAATCTGCAAAACAACCATTTATCTTCACAATTCACTTTCTTTTGCTACAAACAAAAACGAAAACTCAAATCAAAATCCATACAAACATTATAAATATCTATCAAAATGACCTCCATTCAAAAATTATAATGACATAGTTTTCTTTTATACGTATTATGCTCATCTCAAGTAAATAAACAACTGTCAGAGTTCAAATTCCCCAATATCAGGAAATTCAAACTTTCATGTTTCTTTCTTTTTCCCACTTCATTGAAGTTAATAACCCACATAAAGATAACATATTTGGCATGAGTTCTCTGCAAAATTTACAATTTAAATCACCATTGAAATAAAAATGATCAACTTTGTTATTTGATAGCATAGAATATCTAAAAATATAACACTTATTTCATTGTTCAATGAATGCAGTCAGAGCGGGAACTTACCTAATTTAAGAAATAATTCATCAACCTAGGGCAAACAAATAACAAAAAAATGCAACTTCCAAAGTTGTGTAAACTGTCAATTATTAATTAAAATTTCAAAACAAGCTATATTGTATAAAAACAATAAGCTAAGCAAGCCTTGGTTAGGACTAGGTGAGAGATTCATATAATAAAATCTTATCTTCATTTATTTTACACTATTCTCTATCTTACCGGACAACCACTAATTTGAACATCAGATTGTGAACATAGTTATTTGATCCTTATATTGTTTATT